TGGTATGATACTCTAATGTCCCGGCTTTTCTTTTGGTTTTCTGGTCGATGCCACCATGGCAAGAATTTCCTTATATGCTGAGTAATTTGCATGTTGATGAAGCCAGATCTTGGAGGCAACCATGGATGCAAGATCCAAAGCAAGAGCCCATACCTAAAGAGAGAGTTTCCATGAGTGAGTGCCTGCACAAGAAGTTGTTGAGTGTTCAAGATGACGAAGTGCACACATGAAGACCCAAGTCTTGCAATCTTGGTAGAACTTGCAGGAGGAGAAATGGCAGAGCTTTGCGTGTTCCATGGCCCTTGTAGGATCCTTGCCCTATCATTAGAATACACGACTTTATAAGGAGGGTCTTGCCTCAGCAAGTCTTTTCAGGTTGCTTGTTTGGTTCTTCAATTGCTATGCATTTGCTCCATGTATGACCCACAAAGAATTTTTATGCTTGGATTGTTTATGTATTTCCAAAGCATCCAACCTTAATAATAAACTCTAGAGTACACTCTTGATAACAAGTGCAGAGGAACCGATCGATCGTATCTGGAATGGTTGTACAGCCTTGTTGAAGAAGTCCATCAACCCTTAGGCATAAAATAGAAAAAAATCTTTGCATATTGAAAAGAGAAGGAAATATGTATGTCATCTTCCATTTGGCTACATCTTTTCCAATGAACATCGTTGTGTTTTGAACGGGTCATGCCTCCAGTTGTAATAACCTTCCTTAAGAGAATTGAAACAAGTTTGGCCCTGGGTGATTCCTTAAAACTACATTGGCAGCCAAATTTGTGTGCTTGCACTTCTAGGCTGCCAAAGTGGCGTTCTTGGTGATTCCTTAAAACTACATTGGCAGCCGGATTTATGCTTGCACTTCTAGGCTGCCAAAGTAACGGTCTTGGTGATTCCTTAAAACTACATTGGCAGCTGGATTTGTGCAAGCCAGAGAGAAGTCAAAGTTCGATAAACACTTCCCGATGAATAAATAACATTGGGTTGATGTTTCGAAACAACTATGTCATCATGATTAATCAAAAAAGATAGGAATAGAAGCAAATTACTATTAGCCCGATTAAACGAGATGGAAATGAAACAAGTTCCAAGATTTTCAATTGGGAAGCCAAAGGTTCCAACTGGTGTTAGGATACGAGTAATTTGATCTTGGATGTTAAGATGACTACGAATGTGTTCAAAAAAAGGACACCACATGGTATACTAAATATTAGAGTTGTCGTCAGCAATTTGGATAGTGCAATTAGCACTAAATTTATCTTTAGTATTCAAGATTGAAATGTCGTAAGCAGGAGGACGGTTCCCTTTCGCTTGTAGAAAGAACTATCATGAAAACACTTAGCCTTGAGAACTCAAGAAATCGTACTTCCATATTTCATACTCATGATTTGGCCGTCGTCTCCTTGTCATGCACGCAGTATCGTCTTCACAGTAGTTTCGTTGTTGTTGGGTCATAATTGAACAAGTACGTTGGTTTGGTTATGTTTTTCTGCATGACTTAAGGGTTTTCTTTGTTCCGGCATATTTTTTATTTTGTAACCATGTCCACATCGTATTTGCTCTATACTCCCTCTGTATCAAAATATAAGATGCCTTTTGACACTATGATAGTGTCAGAAAATGTCTTATATTTTGAGACGGCGGGAGTATTTACTTTCATCAGTTTTTAATTTTGTACTTTTTTAGGGTTTCTCCATCTGTTTTGCTTTTCCCTAAAAAATACAACAAAAAAAGTGATAACACTTTGATTTTGCTCTATTTTCATCCCTACACCTAATAACCCATGTAACAAATTTGCCTTGACCTCTCGGCAACCAAACTCATGGCAACTGTGAAGGAACGAGCACACCTTAAAAAACACAATGCTGCTATTAAAAAATATTCCCTCCATCCCATAATATAGTGCATATTGATTTTTTTGAACGTCAAAATTTAGTCAAGTTTGTAGAGAAAATTATTTATATTTATAATATCAAGTAGCTTGGAGGTTTTCTATCAATAGTTACCACAGAACCTGTTTGAAATTTTGATGGAGTAGAACTTCCCAAAAATCATGGAAAAATAGTGTAAGACTAAGACTGTAATGTAAGATCTTCTAGCAGAGCGATTGGAAAAATGCAACTTTATGTGCCTGGACAAAAAGCAAATGGTTGTGTTCATATATACTCACTCTGTCCCAAGATAGGTGTCACTGCTCACCGACACTTATTTTGGGACTGAGGGAGTATGTCGTAGTGAGCTAAAATGTTTGTAATTTTTGCCGATGGCACTTAAACTCGGATTAGAAACTTCTACACCGTTAATACACGCTATAGGAAAAAAATAGGATGAATCTAATGATGCTGATTTGGTACTCTAGATGTCAATAAAATAATATCGCTAATATCTGGCGATCGAATCGTTCGCCCGGTCCCTCCTTTCCCATCGAACGTTTTAGTTTTTTTAGGCAAACTTGCAAAGTTTTTATTCATCCGTCACACAGTTTACAGGGACGAAGCAAAGATCTCCAGGGTGACCTAGCCAAACATGGCGGCCGGTACCCAGCGTTAAAGCATGCTTTGCAAGCTTGTGGGCCTCAACATTTGAGGTTCTAAACTCATGCGAGAAAATGCAAGAAATAAAATTCTTAGAAGACTGCTCTATCTCAAGCACCACTGCTCCATAACAAGATGATGAAGCTCCCCTCGTAACTGCCTCGACTGCCTTCTTACAATCTGAAGCGACTGGAATCCTTGACGCGTATAGATCAGTGGCTAGTGCTAACGCTTCTCTTATTGCCAATACCTCAAGTACCTCTGGATCTTCAATGTGCATGAATTTAAGCGACGAAGCCCCCTGAAAAGATCTTGTCTCGTCCCTGCACACGACCCCAACATCACCAAAGCCTCCGGATCTAGATGTTGCAGCATCGACATTGATCTTCAGGTGATCGCTCTAAGGTTTAACCCATCCAGTCGGTTTCGATGGCACTGGATTCTGTACTCTGTTGGTGGGTTTTGCAATGATTTGGATATCAGACAAGAATCTCTGCACAAAAGCATTTGTAGCAAAAGGGGTCTGTAGGATTCCTTCGTGAATCACTTTTCGACTGGCATACCAGATAGCCCACAGCGTGACTATCATGGTGGTAAATTCATGTGGTGAGAGAGAGCTGCTCATTACAAACAGCCAGTCCTTCGCGTTTTCTTCTCCACTCAAACACATGTGTTGAACAAGCTCATCATCAGATAATGCCCACACGCTCCTTGAGAGTGTGCAATCTAGAAGTGCATGCCTCTAGCTATCTTCTGCACCACAGATTGCGCAGACATGACTAGGCGCCATCTTTCGATGTTTTAAGAGATCGTAGGTGGGTAATGAGTGTTGTGCCAATCTCCAAGTAAAGACCTTCAACTTTGATGGAACCTGAAGACTCCATACAGACGACCAGCCCCTCCTCTCTACCGCCGGGTTAGACACCATCTCAGTACTTTCCATCCAGGCTTCTCTTCCCGATTTTATGCCATATATGAGTTTATATGCAGATCGCACTGAGAACAAACCGCGAGGATCAGCAGACCATGCCCAGAAGTCATCAATTTGTCTCGTGCAAATCGGAATCTTGAGGATATCTTCAGCATCAATCGGTAAGAAGACTTGGCGGACCAGCTCTTCCTTCCACATCGCCGATGTCTGGTCAATTAGCTCAGCCACTCGCTGGGGTGGATCAAGGACAAGAGAAGTGATCGGTCTCAACAAACCTGCCCGTGGAATCCAGTTTTGACTCCAGATTTCCGTCGATGTTCCATCGTCAATTCTGCGGATGATGCCCAGTTTCATTATGTTCCGTCCATCAACTATGGCTCTCCAAATTTGGGAGGGGTGTGACCCTAGTTCTGCCTCCAGGATTGATGAGTCTGGGAAGTAAATGGCTCGAAGTAGCCGGGCACTCAAGGACTCGGGATCCTGGAGAAGGCGCCAGGCCTGTCTTGACAGTAAAGTAAGGTTGAATAATTCCATGTCTTTGAAGCCCAAACCTCCAAGGTTCTTTGGTTGCAGAATTACATCCCACGAAACCCAACAAGGCCTTCTCTTCCCTTGCTTACTCCCCCACCAAAACTGCCTGATAATTGTTGTGATGCTGTCACAGACGCCCCTTGGTAGTCTAAAGCATGACATGGAGAAAATCGGGATCGCTTGTGCCACTGCTTTAATGAGAATTTCTTTCCCCGCAAAGGATAGCAACAACTCCAACCAGCCTTTCACTTTTGCCCACACCCTGTCCCTTAGATATTTAAAAGTGCCGTTTTTGGATTGGCCCACCTCCGTAGGCAGCCCCAAAACTGAGAGACTCATTCTGTACATTAAGGCTGTTTTTCACCTCCTCTCTTAGGGCAGTCGGGCAACCCTTGCTAAAATAGATTGACGATTTGTCATGATTTACCTTTTGTCCCGAAGCAGCACAATATAATTGCTACATCGACTCGGCCGCCGAGCTATCCGTCGTTTGAGCTTCAAAAAAACGTCCGGTGACCTTCCCACGACTCCGTCAGTATTTATCCAAGACTAGACACTCAACAGGCGCTCGCCCGTTCACCTCCTCCACCATGTCCATGTCAACCGGAGTAGAGCCGACGATCGATGTGAAGGTTTTCGTGGACAAGGAAAGGGCCAAAGTGCTCTTCGCGGAGTCCGGCAAGGAGTTCGTCGACGTTCTCTTCGGCTTCCTCACGCTGCCCCTGGGCACCGTCGTTCGCCTCCTCGGCGGGCAGTCTCATGTGGGATGCCTGGACGAGCTGTACAGTAGCGTCGAGGGGCTCTCCACCGACTTGTTCAGGACCGAGCCTTGCAAGGCGATGCTGCTCAAGCCCATCAACTCCGCGGCGAAGCAGTGCTGTCAGTAGAAGGTCAGAGTCGACGACACTAAGCACCGGGAGGTTTACGTCTGCGGTGACACGAGCTGCAGCGTCACCGCGTTCAGCTCCGTCCCCGGCGCCGGCTGCCGGTGCGGCAAGGTCATGGCGAAGCTAGCCGCGGAGAGGCCGGAGAATCGTGGTAACGCTGCTGCCGGTGGTGCTCACTCAGAGGATGGCGTTTTTGTCAAAGGAGGCATGAAGTTTGTCGTCACTGATGATCTCAAAGTTGCACCGGCCTCAACTTCCCTCATGCTCACCCTTTTGGACGAGTTTCAAGTGCCAGATCCATCCAGTCTTGAGCAGAGGATTCTCCGGTTCAGTTCTGACAAGGTTTTTCTCTCTCAAGTTCTCAACTATTACCTCTATACATGAATATAAGACGTTTTTGCAGTTCAATTTATAGAGGGAGTAACTTTTTAGTTTGAGCATTATGCCGAATCGTGCAACATACACTATTTAACTTACATGATACATCTGCTACAGATAATTGACCTGCTCAGGAGGTCATTAACTTCGCAGAACCCGTTAACTGGTCACTATCTTGACGTCGCTGTTGCGCCTGATGGTTCAGTAGTGGATATGCTCCCTGAGTACTTGTATCCTGAAGAACAAGATAATGAGGCTGAGCACTCACTGGTAAATGCTAGCCTAAGGGTTCTTCAGACAAAGAACAACTCCAAGGTGTTGTACGCCGAAGTTGGCGGCGATTTTGTGGATCTTCTCTTTGGATTACTGACCATACCTCTAGGATCCATAGTGAAAAGATATGGGAAATCGGCATCGAAAGGATGTTTTGACAATCTTTACACTAGCATAGATGGAAGTGCTCAAGGATGCTTGAGGCCAGAATGCCAGAACTTGCTATTGTCCCCAGTGTTGACGCCCTTCTTTGGCTGTGGCGCTAGCACGATGCTTCAAGCGCAAGAACTAGCTCCAGATAATCAAGAGATCAATGCTTGTTTGAAGTGTATCAAGGATCGTGGTTTTGCGAATCTTGTCACTTGTCATGGGAAATTTTGGTACAAAAAAAGTTATCGTCAATATTGCAACGTAAGTGTAAAAACCACAAGCCTCTGTGAGCTGGATGCAAAGTCGCCAAAGGGAGGATCTGACAACGGAGGAGCATATGTAAAGCACGGACCTCAGAAATTCATTGTGACTGATGATCTGCATGTTCTTCCTCTGTCCTTAGCAAGCACTCTGCAAGTTGTTGTTGAAGCCAAACTTTAGAGAAAGGACCTTGTAGAGAAAGAAGTCGCCCTTACAAAACCCCAGGTTGTTATTTCTGTCATAATATACACATTTTGCCTCACAGATCATAAAACTCACTAGCCTTTGATTGACCAGCTCTAGGTGTTGCTAACTTTTGAACAGGTTGTGGAACTACTCAAAGCTGCCCTGGTGACTCGCAGAGCTCTTAGCACCGTGCTTCTGCCCGCCAAGATCAACAAGAAGCTGCATTACCACAGCTTCGGTCTATATTAGCAGCTCCTAGCAACGTTGCTGCTTAGCGGCACTAATATGCAGTATTACTCTTAATTTGGTTAACCTGTTGTGGGTGCGTAATGGTTGGTCTTTTGGGTTCTCAGAATAGCCAAACTGTTGCTATTGTGATTGTTATCTCAGTAGGGTGGTCTGTATTCATAGTTCACTTGGATTTCCTTGCTTGACTAAGCAACTTGTGGCTTTTGAGAAGCGGGGCTTCTAGGGTGCAAGGCATTTTTTTGCTGATTGTTTACTGCATTGCTCATAACGTCTAAAAAAATACCGGTTCTCTACTACATCCTTCATAAGTTTATTGTATTTCTTGGTCAGCTATGAAGGATTAAAGGAGCCGAATATGGCGTTGACGATTGATCTTGGGAGCTCCCAGATCGAACAAATCGTTCCTTGGGGACCGATCTTTCGAGTAAATGAAATTGTTTCCTTTTTTTTAGAAACACCTATAACACCTTCAATTACAATTATAGGTACATTGATTTGGATCTAAGATCTAAGAAAATACAAAGTAACTCCTATGACTAAGAATTACAATGAAATCGTTTGAAAACACCTTCTTCGCGGTATCAATCTCTGCTAGAAGAAATAATACAAAGACTTCGGCAAAGAGGCAGCAATTGGACTGGAGCAACGATGTTGTCACTCTTTCATACGCACGAACATTACCAATAATGATTTTTGAAAGCACCTTGATCCAAAAAGATGGGAAGCATTGCTTTGATCAGCTTCCACCGCGACCCCCAAACATCACTATATATAGGCCCCTGGAAAAGAAAGCCCAGTTTTTGATGTTACTAATACAAAAAGGCTTAAAACTAGTACTCGGACATGACTTTAAAATAGCTAAAATTAAATACCAATGATTATATAGTAAAACTCCCATCAAATTAAGCATGGATCTGATGAAAAATGGCTTCAAAACTGTATTTGCAAAAAAAGCACTTAAAATAGGGAAAACAAAATCTAAAAAATATTCATGCATGAAAATTTATAAATTGTCATTCTAACCTAAGTTGCCATTTTGTTTCATGATATGATCCAAAAAATCAAAAGATGGAAAAGGTTTTAAAAGAGTGCCATGATAACAAAATTGCCATAGTGTCTTTAAATTTTCTATGGTGCTCAAAAAATGAAATGTGCCATGGAGCAAAATATAAAATTTGGCATGCTATGAAAAACTGGGAATACATTGCCATCATCCAAAAATAAAGGAAAATAAATTTGTCGTGATAGAGAATAGAAAACAAGATATCATGGATTGTTAGTAAAATTTGTCATGATTGAAACAAAACTTGTCATGGTCCAAATAATAAATTAGGCATCATATTTAAAAGCAAATGTTACCATGGTCCATGAAAAAGAAAAAAAATTGATGGCCCAACAGGAAAAGTCATGGCAATTTGCATCTATACATTCTGGCAAAAATGTGGATTAAATTTGCAAGGTATTTTTACTATATTAATGAAGACACAAAAAAGGTAAGATTGCGATCATGTTGCGGAACACAAAAAGCGTAACATATACTATTGTTTAATAATAATTGCCATGAGAGATGAAAGTAAATTTACCATGATCCATTAAAAGCAAAAATTGCAATGAGTGATGAAAGTAAATTTGCTATGACAATACTGGCCATGGAAAATAAAAGGTAAATTTGTCAAGGGGACCCCCTCTCCCCCTCCTATTCATCATTGTCATTGATCCGCTACGACATTTCCACAAGACATGGCTTGCTGCACAAGATAAGAGGTATGGAGCCTCTTGCAGTATTTCTCTCTATGTCAACAATGTGGTGGTTTTCTTGGGGGCCATAAAGAAAGATAGAAAAAATTTCTTGCATTTTGAGGCTATTTTGGTGAGGTGACAGGATTGGAAACCAACTTCCAAAAAAGGTCTTTTGTTCCCATTCGATGTTCAAACTGTAACCTCGAGGGCATCCTCCACAAACTTGTGGCTCGTGTTTCCCTATCAATTTGGCAACTCAAGAGGGCCGACCTTCAATTCCTTAAAGACAAAGTGGCTGCCAAGCTTGTCCCTTGGGACAACCAAAATGTTACCACCACTGGCCGGGGCACCCTTGTCAAAGCGGTACTCACCTCGTAAGCGATCTACCATGGAACACCCCTCATTATTCCACCGCCCGTCATCCAGAGCATCAATAAGATTTAGAGGGCCTTTTTGGGCAGGGACCGACAAGGTTACAAGAGCCAAGTGCAAAGTTAATTGGGCCACCGTCTGCTGGTCGAAGGATCTTGGAGGCTTTGGGGTACTTCACCTCAAGAATTCCGTGTGTGTTTTGCGCTTGCATTGGCTATGGTACGAATGGAAAGAGCATACCAAGCTTTGGGTGGGGATGGGAAACCCATGTGATAAGTTGGATTCGATCTCTTCTATGCATATGTTGCCATGACCATCCGAAACGATGATCGCGTCCCCTTTTTGGACTCCCCTTGGCAATAAACCAATGGACTTCGCACCCATAGTTTACATGGCCTCTTCACGAAAAAAAAGTTGGAAAGTGAAAGAAGCATTGATGGAGAACGCTTGGATTACAAAGATCATCCTTACGAAATTCACTTCCATTGAGCATTTTGGGGAATTTGTGAAACACTGGACGTGCCTTCATGAGGTCCAACTGAGGGAGATGAGCAGGATAACACTATTTGGAATCACACGGTGAGTGGTCACTACTCTTCGGCTTCGGCCTATAAAACACAATTCATTGGGTGAACTAGCACAACCCTCCGGTGCACCATTTGGGCTCCTTGGGCTCTTCCTAAAGCAAAATCCTTTGCTTGGCTCGCTACCAAAGACTGTATTTGCACGTCTAGTCGATTAGCCAGACGTGGTTGCCAAAACTCTGGCTTATGTCCGCTTTGCCAACAAGTGCAAGAAAGTGGTGCGCGTCTTTTCGTCAAATGCCGCTTCCCTGTCCGGATTTGGAACTTGATCAGAGAATGTTTGGGGCTCCATGCTATTGACACATCATCTTGGATGGCGGAGCACTTGCTCAAGTAATGGTAGAGCAACATGTCAAGCGACAACATTCCCAATAGGAGTACTAATGCCTCCCTCACCATGCTCGTTGGATGGTCTATTTGGAATGAGAAGAACGTGCTGGTCTTGGGCGACAAATCAACCCCACCTCTGATCATCTTCAACGGCATCAATAGGGAAGTAAGACTTTGGGTTATTGCGGTTGAAATTTTTTGAGTCGTATCATAGTGGTAGACTAATGGTTTCATGCAATAAGGGTTGTGTAACTATCTTCTCCTCTCTTGAGTTATGAATGAGACAAAGTTTATGGTCCGTTTCGAGCCCCAAAAGAAAGAACTACCTTCTCGCACACGATGATGCCAGATGCCTCATCGATCTCGCAAAGGCAAATTCATCTTTTGTTTATGCACACGATTACACATGCCATTGCCTCCTGGAAATAAAGTAACTTTACGCGACCAGAAGATGCAGCATGTGGCATGATCGAGCTGTCCACTCCATCCATCTGTCCATCGAGATTTTTCTTCAGTTAAAGTAAGATATCTCTGCATGTGGAGCCCGTTAAACATTGCAGTTGATTCATCGTAATAAAGTTTATTATCGTGCATGTGGAGCCCGTAAAACAAATGGTTTACTAGTTGCTTGCTTCGCTAGGTTGTACGCGCAGGGCGATCTCGACTGAATATATTTTTTGCTTCGAGATGTGCGTGCGTGCTTACATTCTTTTACAGGTTAGTCAGCCTCTGCGCACCTGCTCAAAGCAGCATCAGACACAAGAACAGAACAGAACCACCTCGCGATCTCCAGACAGAGTCCACTATGATTTTATAGAATCGCATGTCGCATCATCATCATACCGTTAATTATCACAAGATATATACGATTCACTTCAGGCGCAGTTAGTTGGCCTTTACGTCAAGGTGCAAGCTCATCGATGAGTAACGAACCAACCAACTGTCAATGGGTGTGGCTAGGTCTCAGTCGACTAAGATTTAACCAAGTCTCAGTCAAGTGGTATAACATTTAAGAGGAAAAACGAAAAAATTAAAAATAAATTTTGCGCGGATCTCAATGTAATATCTTACCGATATAGCATCGACTATGACTTTGTTAAGTCTCAGTCGACTAAGGTTTAGCAAGACTGTCTGTCTATTGGCCTCTTAAACTTTTTGCTGTAGTAGGTTTCAGTGGTACTGTAGCTCCTGGTCGATCAGATCGCTCAATGGCACGTACTGTGCTGTCTATATCCGTAGATAAACTTATTACTTATGGTGCGATTCTAAGCTGATCTTGGGAGAGAAGGACGGGTACCTGTGGTATGCGTCAGTAGCTTGCTTGCTTGCCGCTCCCTCTTGACCAAAGCATGGGGTTCTGCCTAGCACTTTCTCAAGGCGACTTGTCCCAGGCCTGCTCTGTTCCAGCTGACCTTGAAACACACACACACTGCAACAGTTCTACATAGTGCTTTCTGAAGGAGACTTGTCCCGGGCTCTGTTTCAGCTGACCGTACAACACGCTGTAAGTAGAGAAATCTAGGTTCTACAAGGTCTCGGTGGAGAAGAGGATCTGGGGCTTTTTATTCCTGGGAGCAAGCGGAGTTTCACCAAGGATTCGATTCCAAATCAGATATACGTGGGGTGGACCGGTAAGGAAATGGAAGAGGGGCCATGCATCATCCACTGATTTTGTAGTGGAAAGGAGGACGGGCTATTCGGCAGCTGAAGCTCACAGAT